AGGGTCACCCAAGGGGTGCCAGCCCAGAGGAGGGGGGGAGCGGCAGTGTGCCAAGCTCGCGTCTCCCCCAGGTTGTGTCTGTGGTCAGCTGCTTCGGGCTGTGGATCCCACGCTCCATGATGGTGGTGGAGATGGCTACCACGGCGTGAGTATCGCCTACCCTGGAGCAGGGGCACCGGCGAGCCTGTGGGGCCTGACCTGCCTTCCTCCTCCTCCCCAGGTACTTTGCCATCTGCTTCTACCTCCTGATGCTGGTCATGGTGGAGGGCTTTGGGGGGAAGGAGGCGGTGCTGAGCACCCTGAAGGACGTGCCCATGGTGGTCAGCACTGGGCCCTGCTGCTGCTGCTGCCCCTGCCTGCCCCGAATCACCATGAGCAGGTGAGGGAGAGCCGGGGTAATTCCCTGCCCTTGGGGAGGGCTTTCACCCCCTGCTTCTGCTGGGGTGGAAGAGAAATCCTTAGGCAGGGGCTGGGGGACCTCAGGGTGCTACCGGTCTCTCTCGCTGTGCCAGGAGAAAGCTTCAACTGCTGATGCTGGGGACTTTCCAGTACGCCTTCTGCAGGGCGGTCGCCGTCTTCCTGGGGCTGGTCCTGGCTGCCGACGGGAACTACAACCCTGCTGACGTGAGTGCCAGGGCACAGGGATGGGCAGGGGGACGTCCTGGATGGGGAGCCTCCACCAGCCCTCCCCTTGCCCAGCAGCTTTGTCAGCCCAGGCGTGTTTTCTGTGTCCTCCCCCAGATCTCGGCAGAGAGCGTGGCCCTCTGGATCAACACTGTGGTTGGCGCCTCCACCCTTTTCGGGCTGTGGGCCCTGGGCATCCTCTTCCGGCAGGCCCGGCTGCACCTGACCGAGCAGAACATCAAGGCCAAGTTCTCCTGCTTCCAGGTGAGCCCCTGTCCTGCCTGGCTCCCCCCGAGGTGAGGGGCTCCTCCAGCACGAACGGGATGAGAGAGCGCGGGGGGAGATGGCGGGGCAGGAGCCGCTGGCAGGCGAGAGCCAGGTCTGGCTTCGGGAGAGCAGGGAAGGTGAAGGGCAGGAGGCTGGCAGCGGTGCGGCCCCCACCACCTCGGGTGTTGGTGGTTGCAGGTCCTCCTCCTCCTGACGGCACTGCAGCCCGCCATCTTCAGCATCCTGGCCAACAACGGCAACATCGCCTGCTCGCCGCCCTTCTCCTCCAAGGCCAGGTCGCAGCGTAAGTCAGGAGACGAGGGAGCAGCGTCGCGTGCTCCCGGCCGAGCCCCTCCCGCACACAGCAGGGCGTGGGGAACGGGCACGGCGGACGAAGGCAGCTTCGAATGACCCTTCTCCTCTTCCAGAGATGAACATGCAGCTGTTGATCCCGCAAACCTTCATCTTGGCAGTGGTGACGCGGATGTATTACCGCAAGCAGGATGACAAGCCGGGCTACCAGCCCGTCAGCGTCGCACCCGCAGGCACCGATGTCAAGGCATGAGCAGGAGGGAGCAATTGGGGTGCCAAGAGGCAGAGTGAGACGAGGGCTAGTTTGCCCTGTACAACCACCTCCTCCTCCTCCGGCCCTGGGGAGCTGCTGGCAGCAGAGGAGGCAGAGGGAGAAAGGGCATCTCGGTGTGGGGTGAAAGGGTCTGAAACCTGAAAGCCACAAGCCAAAGGGATCCGTGAAGCCGCCTCCAGCCCAGGGGGCTCTTGTCTGGCACTGAATAAATATAAATTTGTACCCGAGTCTTGCGTTGGTGACTGGGCTCAGATTGTCCCCTGCCCAGACTGGGCGGGAGCTGACTCCACACAGGGGGAGGAAGACGGAGCCCAGACCAGCACAGCCATGGCACGGGGCTGTCACGGGGTGCCCAACACCCAGCCGTGACACTGACCTCTGGGTGCTGCTGGCTGGGGTCCAATGGCCAAGGCAATGCCAGGGCAGCGGCGTTTTCTCCCGAGACCTCTGGATGGGTCTGGCCTGTCCCTGGGGCACGTCCTCTGCAGCAGTGGCTGGTCCCGAGAGCACAGCAGGAGCATCCACACCTGCCAGCCTGGGGCCAGGCAAAGGAAGGAGCCTTGAAGCACCTTCATGACACAGGCAATTAGTTAATGCTGCCTTAACCAGCCTTGCCCAGGCTCTGCTCCGCTAACAGTATCGGCTCTACACCTACAACAGAGGTGGGGATGGACATCAGGAGTGATGATGACTTGCAGAAACCACTGGGTAATCTTTTGACCCCCACTGAAGCATCTTCTCACTCAAACCACTGCTAAGACGGCAGGTGAGGAGACCATGATGGGAGCTGGCTGTGCTAGGATGGCAGAAGGAGTCTGGCACACACTGAGTAAAATGACTTTGCATTTATTTGGCTAGACATGAAAGCCAAAAACCCAACTCCAGAACAAGCCAGTAAGACACACGATGTGCACACAGGCCCATACAGAGAAGCCAGCAGAGCAAACACTGACTGGGAAAGGCCAGCTTGAAGCAGCCGCTGCTGCGGGGCTGGAGGTGACGGCAGGACTGGGTGATGCAGCGTGACCGGAGATGGGCAGCAGATGCCAGATCATCAGCGCTAAGACCAGAGCCTGCTGCCGGGCACCACCAAAGCTTCTCCGGACCTGCACCCTAGTGCCCTCCCACCCTAATACCTCTGGCTAGCGCGACATCTTGGGGAAGCAGAGTCAGAAAGCCAAAGCTCCCAACTTTTATTTATTTAATTGATTCATTTTGGGGAAAAAGCAAGTTTTCTGACCCATGAGGAGGGGGGAAAAGTGACTCGGAGCTTTTTGCAGGTGGCTGTGTTCAAAGTGAAACTGCTCAGCCAGAAGATGCACTGGTGATTCATTATGAGATTGCCAAATTTGACAGACTCCTGGCAACAGTACATGGCCATTACCAACACGGCTTTCTAGGCACCAGCAGAAGCACTGGGACCCAGCGATCTCATGGTTTTGCCAAGAAGCAACACCCAGACAAGCAGCAAAATATGGGACTCGTTCCCCCCCTGTCAGACAACCAGACCCAGCTCCTTAGCTGTGGCAGGTAGAAAACCCACACCTTTACACCAGGGAGCCCTTGGCAACGAGAAGCCCACCCTGAGGGCAGAGGGCAAGATGCAGCGTCAGTCCCATCAAAGTCACCGCTCCTGCCAAGTGTGTTTGCTGCTCCAGCACCTGCCTCTGGTTACAAGAACCGGACCGCACAAAAAAATGCACAAAATCACGTCAGTGCAGGTGTGTGCCATAATTTTCTCAAGAGATTAAAGACCACCTCCTACAGCTGTAAGCAATATGCTGTTGAAGTGCCATGCTCTTCATGTCTTGCTTCTACCAGCATCCTTGGCACCTTTCAGCTTTGCCCTGCTGCTGCTGTTCTTTGCCATCAGAAAATCCTCTCCCAGGTGCTGGCTGCTGGCGCCAGCAGCCTCACACCCCAGATCTATAGAGGAACTGAGGTAGGACTCTCTCGCAGGAGTCAATGCCTCTGGATTTAGCAGCATCAAACTCCACATGTTCTTCAATGCATGCTAGTAAGTTTTATTCTTCCACTCTGCCTCTTACTTCATGCTTAGTTCAAGCATGTCTCTTCCAGATGCTTCTTTTGAAGAGTGTAGGATGGGTTAGGGGTATGCAGGACAGCCCTGAAGCAGCAGCACTGGGTATATCTGTGGGTAACAAGATGTTCCTGGAGAACTTGGCTCACACGTTTTGCCCAAAGACAAAGCTCTGTCCTGTTCCTGATAGGACAGGGCAGTGCTGGAGATGAGGCTGGTCCAGCAATCCAGAAGGAAACAAAAAAACAAAGGGGGGGGGGAAAAAAAGACTAGTCTGGGATTTGAGTGTTCAATTTAATTTAAGTGCAAGGAGGAAGCAGGGATTATTGGTTACAACAAACAGCCCTGTTATTCCAAGCTACATGTAAAACCATGGCTGGCTTCTTACCAAGCACCCCAGGTTTTCCAGAGAGACCAAGAAACATGTTAAGGTCTCTGCAGAACAAACCACCATCCAAAACACCGTTGTTATCCAAATTTACAGAACACTGTTGCATAACTTGTGTTTAAAACAGTAGTAAGGCTCTAAAGCAGCCCGGCTTCGTGATCCGGCTTGGGAAAGCAACGCAACACCCATGGTGAGGAAGGGAAGGTGCGGAAGATGAGGGAAGAGAGAATGTGGGTGATATAAAGTACGTGCTCTACCACTCATAAACCAGGGGATTAACAACTGGCTTGTACCAAGTGACCATTATTTGCTCCTTAGCAAAATCCATAGCAGCCAGCCACGCTCCCAGAGCCGTGCACGTCCCTGCTGAGAGGTGTCCAAGTGGCAGATGAGGAATCCCCAAAATACCCTTTCCCATACCGGCTCTGGCCTCAACAGAAGCAGAGTCTCTGTCAAGCCCTTTGGCCAAGTGTGACAAAGGATCAGCAAGATAAAAGCTGGAAAGAAGCTTTTTAGGCAGCCTGCTCCTACCACAGGGCCACTGCGTCCCCTGGAAGCATCGCACCACGCGGAGCCTGTGGCAGCACTTGACGATTCACCTCCTTGCACCGGCTGCTCCCCGAGCCCCGCGTCCCGCTCTGAAGACCTCCCTGCAGTATTGCTGATCAGGCCCGGAGCTGTCCTCTGCTCCCAGCATCGCAGGAGGATACAGGCAACTCAGGAGGATACAGGCAACTCAGCCCAGCAGCTCCACCCAGAGACAACAGATATCACAGGCAAATCCGAACAGAAAAGCAAGCGGAAGCTTCACAGCTACGCGACACCAAGTCCAGTCCCTCCAGCACTGGCTGCCGGGACAGAATGCACAGACCTGCTCTGTGCACAGGCATGCAGCACATGGGAGGGCAACTGCCCGCGGGGAGCCGCAGGCCACAAAGCTCAGTGATTACTACAGACATGACAGCAGGCACGACGTGGACCATGGTTTCAAACGAGCAGATTACATGTTTAAAATCTTAAAAAGCTGCAGTGCTCTCTGATGCTCTTTCTGGCCTGCCTGAAGGAGTGAAGTAAGCGGGCACCGATTTGTGCACTTATTGCGCAAGCCAGGTAACTGTCACACGGGACCAGGACCCTTCACTGGGGTAAAACGTGCCCTTCATCAGTCCAGCTGCACACACCAACACGGACAGCAAACTGGCTGTACGAAATCATGTTTTGTCCTTATAGCAGCGACTTCATGGCACCAGTGTAAAGGACTGCTCCAGCCCTTAGAGCACAGGAACTGAAACACAGACAAACACGCACAGAGCACAGTGTTGAGGGGCCATTTGGACAGACAGTAAAACTTATTACACACCAGAGACTGGGACAAGGAACTTCTCAAAGGAGTACACACATTCGTTTCCTACCTGGGCTCTCACACACCCAAGGAAACACACAGACAGCAAGTGCCCCGAAGCAAAGATTCATTCTCTTCTCTCCAACAGCAACCGAGGGCTGAATTTTAGCTCAAGATTTAGCAGTCTTGTTAAGATTAGCTGGAAGGGCCTTTCCCCTGCAGCCCCCATACAATTTGGAGCTGTGAATGCTGCGCGCTTACGGGGTGTGCGACTCTATGGTGCTGCGAGTTCTTCCAGGGTGTAATTCCTGCCTGCTAAGCCGGTAGCCCCTACCCAGCACGTCCTCACTGTGACACGCTGGGAAGCTCAGCTAAGAGGCGTGCAAGCACTACAGGGTCTGCTGGATAGATTCCTATCGGCTCCAGCGCAGCAGAGATGTCTCTAAGTCCTAGAAGCCTCTTTACACCACCGCTTCCTGCGTGCTCTCAAGGTCACGCTGGTTGAGGAACCGAGGGGCCTTTCATTTGGCAGCGGCACAGATATTGCCTGGGGGTGGGGGGAATAAGACAGAGGAGCTGAAGGAAGGAAGAGACAGATGGGTCTTCCCACTCTCCCTCTTGCCCGGGAGTTTAACAAGGGAAAAGAAACCAAAACAAAAGCCACGCTTGAGTGCTATTCTTTGCGCTTTAAAAGAGTATTTTCTTAAAATATAAAACCCATCTTCCCCCTGGAAACCACTAGAACGTAAACAATAAAAAGGGGATTTGCGGAGGAGAAGGGAGAGGAGGTTTGAATGTGCTTCCAGGCAGCAGCCCTTGCTAAGAGCAACGGGTGCCTCCAAGGCCCTGTGCTCACCGTCAGCCCTGTTCCTATGGCTCTCCTGCTCATTTAGAGTTCCCCAGTGGGTCCGGACTTAGGATTTGGCGATTAGTGGTTCGCAGCAAATCCCGGTTGGTAGCTTAATCCTCTTCATCTTCACTGATGTCATAGGTGACTGCAGACTCGTTCCTGGAGCGGTTGACCGGTGAGGAAGGAGGAGTCTTGGTTGAAAAGGGCCAGCGGAAGGAGGGAGATGGAGAGCGGTCGTGCGTGGGGCTGCTGCTGGGACTCTGCTTTGGGCTGATGGCCTGCAGCATCCGGCCCTTGCCCTCCTTCAGCATGTGTTTCTAGCGATGGAAGCAGGAAGACAGTTAGCATGGCTCAAACAGCGATGGAAACGGATACTACTTAACAGCTTGTGCAGCATTTTGAGTTGTTGTGTCCCTTCAATGCTTTGTGCAATATAAGAGCAGAAAAAGCCCAAGCATCGCTCTAGGCTTTGGAAACTGCATACAGTGTAATCATCACCCATTTTCAAGCACTTGTAACACAGAATCATAGAATCATTAAGGTTGGAAGAAACCTCCAAGATCATCGAGTCCAACCGTCAACCCAACACCACCATGCCCACTAAACCATGTCCCTAAGCGCCTCATCTACCCGTCTTTTAAATACTTCCAGGGATGGTGACTCAACCACTTCCCTGGGCAGCCTGTTCCAATGTTTAACTACTCTTTCAGTAAAGAAACTTTTCCTCATGTCCAATGAAGTGAATTTTTCCTCATGTCCAATGAAGGCACTTCCAACATGAAGTGCCTGTGATATTTACTCAGCAGCGCAGGAGAGCCTGGCAAAAACAAGTAGCTTCGGACTCATCCCAGGCCAGTGACAAAGTGACTGCCAATCTCTTGGCTCCTCAGTGGCCTGCAGGACACAAGCCGGAGTTTACAGGCGGGCTTGTGGGACATAGGGACTTTTCATGCTACAACGGTAACTGGCGTTATCCAGTTGGCAAGGGTGAGGGCTCCCTGTAAACAGGCTGCCCAAGCCTGGGACAACTTGTCTGGAGACCGGCAGCACATCGAGCACTGCAACAAACCGTAAACCTTTGCTCTGCAGAGCGTGGGGTCCAGAATCCCTACAATGACTGCCAAGCTCTCCAAAATCCCCTTTCCCCTTTTCCCAGAGCGGCTCCTTACCAACGCGCCTTCTGGGCCAAACATCTCCAGGAAATTGCCGATGAACTCCCGGGACTTCTCCTCCCACTTCTGAATGAGGTCGATACTCTTCTCCTCCACTTTCTGGACAAATTCCTTCGACTTCTCCTCTACATCCTTCACCCTCTTTTTCACCTTATCCACGCGCTCCTGGAGGTGGTATTTCTTCTCCTGTACAGTAAGCGGTGGATGAGAGTACAGCTCACCAGACCTGAGTGGCGACCACCTCTGCTCTGTGTTATTACACTGAACTGCTGCTTAAGACTCAGCATCTCCATTAGTCTTGTGACACTTCTCCTTCACTTCAGTGACACTTCTTCCCTAGACTAAATGGCAGACACAGTGGGGCTGTGAGATGCTTTGCGGCAGGCGCTGGCACAGTACACAGAGTGAGACTAAACCCAGAGATAAGCACTATCTAATAGGAGTGCATGGAAGAGGGAAATATTTATGCAATATACAGATTAGACTTGAGTGACCTGCTGTAGGTCTCTTTGCGTATCACGATAGCACAAGTCTTTTTGCTGGGCATTTTTAAACAGAGGCAGAGTTACGTGCCAAAGAGAGGCCAAGCAGCCGTTACCTCTCCTGTTTAATTTTTGTATTCGCTGTATTTTAAAAAAATAGGCATAGTTATCTGAGTGATAAAAAAAAAAGTTTACTACTTTACTTCCAACTTCAGAAGTGCCTTCTGCCATGTATTCTGCTTGTGGGCTAGAGCTGCTCAGCACAGATCAGAGTATGTCCTTCTCTCCTGCCCAAGCACTGCTGCTCCTGCAGCTCCAGGAAGGGAATAGTACAGTGAGAACATCAGATTTTATCCTAACAAATGACTCTATCTTAAGAAGGTGGCTGAGGGAAGAGGAGAGAGATGAGACACAGCAGCTGCTGCCAATAACAACTCATACTTCATTCAATTCAAGAAAACATACATTTCGCCACGCATCCTGTCTCCAGCTCTTTCAACAGGTAAAACGTCACCAAGACAATTCTGACAATGGAGCAGTATTGGCAAAGCCCCAGCTCCCCTGGTTGGGTCCCAGAGGCAGTTTCAGGGGCAGAAGTAGTCTAATTTCTACTCCAGGGACACTGGTTTGCTGCAGTTGCTTAGCTCTGCAGACTGGCATTTTACTGGCATATGGCAGGACTGTGCTGACACTAGACAAGACTCTACATCTCCACATTCTGTAAGATTCTGCTTCACGCAGCTTGTGGTGAGACACACTTCAACTCACGTTTATGAAGCTGACGTTGAGCTCTTTAGCTGTGTAGCCCCGCTGCAGGTTCCGTCTGGCATAAACATCATAGTCCCGCACTATCCGGGTGATGATATCTGATGTTGAGATCCCCTCAGTCCTCTGAGTTGGTGCAAACATGCCTAAAGTTGGGGAACAGGACCCAGGACAGCTGTAGCAAGACACATGGCAAAAAGCTGCTGCCACCTCTATTAGGAAACAATCTCTCCTGTCAAGAGGTCATTTCCTAACTGTCTTCACACCACCATGTCTTTGTCCTTAAACGTACAATACCAGGGTCCTCCTTTCTGGGACTATGAGGAAGACCTAAGTAAGACCAAAGCATGTCAAAACACCATGTCTTCTAGCGAAAAGCTCTTCACTTTAGCTGGTTTAAAGACTATAATCCACTGCAGATAGGATAGTGTGGTGACAAGGACAGGACAAGGGGTCCTACAATTTAGTGGGTGGAAATATAACAAGCTCTGATGGCTGGCTTTGGACAGATCTAAATAAGCTGCACCCCACTGAGTTTTAGAGCAAACAGCTAGAGGAGCCACTTCGCTAAGTTCATGAGATTCTCCATTTGTGAGAATCTGTAAGCCAAACTGCAGTATTTTTTTCCAAAAGGTGGCTGTTAATTCAATCACAATAACTAGGTTGGAAGTGGGCATTAATGCTGGGCAATGCTTGGCCTGGGACATGGAACAGTCCTAGCCTTATGAAGTAGGGCCCAAAGCTGGGCTTCTTCCTGCCCTCAGAGCCTCCTGGGCAGACCCTGTTCCCAGAGGGCCACTGCCACTTCCCCAGGCATAATCCTGCCATACAGGGGCACAGGAGAAACTACAGCAGACCTTTGACAGGAAGCCCTGGAGAATCTGAGCCAGACCCACCTGCTTCTTTTATATGCTTATAAACATCATCGCTGCCAGCAGAAGAATAGGGGATGTCATCGTGTGCAACAAAGTCGATCTGAAAATTAAGAAAGCAATGTGAGTCAACGTTTTATCTTGAACGTGCAGGTCTCCTGCTTTCTGTCAAAGGATGGTAACTTTTTGCTCAACACCTCCACGCAGGGGTGTGACAGAGAACAGCAAGGCACTTTCCTTTCTTAAAAAGCAACACAGAGCAGTCTCAAGTTCTCACTGGCAATTGCGTATCAATTGTAAGCACACACCAGAGAGGAAAGGCTGGGACTAAGGACACGGCTGTTTTAAGCTCCACAGAGAAATGGTTTGTTAATGGCAACAAGGGTAAACTAAGCGAACTCCCCTAGAGACTCCTTTCACCTCCCAAAGCAGTTCAACAGATGCTAGAGACTCCCTTCACTTTATCTTGCCAACTGATTAAAGACTCTCAAGACAGCTTGCCTGGTCTCCTGCTGCAGGGAAGCTGATGTAGATCTAAGCTGCTCCTGCTGTAAGCAGGGAGTTGGACCAGACGCCCTCCAGAAATCCCTTCCAACTCATGCTGTACTCTCCCTACTGCATTTCACACCAATCTGTAACCAGCATCAACTTCTCCTGGAACAGCAAGAACCCTCTCAGGCTTTTTCACCATGTCACAATCTCTACCTTATTATAACATTACCTGCCAGCTCAGCAAATGCTTCTATTTTCCCAAGAAACCCACTCAATTCCCATAACCCAGTTCATTCTATATTTAAGGAGTTGCAACAGAAATGGGTTGCTCAGGCAGAGGTGACCCCCATGGATGAATTCTTGCTGTAAACAGCAAGCACAAACAGAGGCTAATCAAAATTCAGAATGGATCAGATGTCACAAATTACCCTGTGCTCTGCCAGGAACTCGGGGGTGAGCGTCCACGGCGCATTTCTCACCACTTCGTCCACATAGCGACAGTGCTGCACAGCGTCATACCGCTCATTTTCATTCATTACCGTGAAGCCCTTGAAGTTATGGGTTAGCTCATCACTGCAGACTGAAGAAACAGGCACAGAGAAGAGTGAGCCTGAGGTACTTACCCCAATGCTTTACAGCAAAAGGACCTTGCACACACCCCTGCTAAACCAGGCGATGCCAGCTTGGAGGTTGGTAATGGAGGCTGGGGCTGGGACCTAAATTTCAAACCCAGCTTTTCCAGCCACAAAGCACCAGGAACAGGGAGCGGCACAGGGCACTAAACTCCTCAGCAATTCTAGGCAGGATGTTTGGAGGATTTCTGCCCGAGCTGGGAACCTACACTCCAAGCTCTCAAGGTCTCTAGAGCCTACAATGCTTACAAGAAAAACAGCCAATACAGAAGACAACTCTGCTGTATGAAATGGAACCCGGGGCTCTATCAGGCAGAAAACTGCTTATTAACCTATGAACATCTCAGGCCTGGAAACTGAAGCCCATGAAAAAAAAAATTCCCTAAGCTCCTTATTTCATAAAATGCCATACCACAGTCTAGTTCTTGGAAAATTGTATTAAAACAAGGGGTGAGTTAACAGCAAATCAAGTTAGCTTAATTATTATGTTCTATGAGACAGTCAGTGAACAACTCTTCATAATCTGCAATGTAAGACATTAAGAAGGGGGGAGTTTTATTTGGTTATCAGACTCAAAAGTAAACAAGGCATTACCAGTCTCACTGGTATTGGACATATTTATGTTCTAGACAAACAGATGATAAAGAGTGGGTGAGACTGCTCCCAGCTTGGAGCTTATGTTCACTCGGGCTGTGGCCTCTTGTCTCAGTTCCTGGTGTAAGGGGAGCAGTTCATTGCCCTCCACCTCCTCACCAGTCTCCCAGAGGCAGAGTGCACGGTTGCACACCTCGCTACATGACTTCAGGTCAAACTACCTGAAGTTACTTTCCTGTTTGATGTACAACATTTATGTACATGGGGATGTCTTTCCACCGGCAAGATTTCTAAGCTCAGAGCGTTCTGTAGCTTGGAGCAACTATTTCAGCTCTCCTCCCTCCCTTCCCCTTCCAGACACTACTGTAGCACACACAAAAAATGCAGAAGTACCACTATAAAAACGCCCTCAGCAGCAAGTGAAACTGTGATAAGGAAACAAACCACACAAAGGCGTTATGGTCGCTCTATTGCAGGATCAGAGTTTCATTTTGCTTCAGGAAGCTAATGGTAATTGAGAATACTAGTTAAAGGTATTCTCAGCTTTGATACTTTAACATCATTATGCAGCCTGACCAGAGGTCACCTCCTGATAGACGACATGCACAGCCTGACGTGTCTCTAAGGTGGGTGAAGGTATGGGCACAGAGGCACTGCCTGGACAGAGGCCAGCATATTACAGCAGCCAGAAGAAAGGGTTTCTTTATTCCCATTATATTCTTGAAGGAGGCCTGGCTGAAACACCTCTGTTAGATCCCCTCAGGCAGTCAGCAGGCTATTCCTGGCATCATCTAAAGACTTTTGAACCTAACAGACAAAATGGGGAACTTTTATTTGGAGAAATGGGGCCTCACTGACTTCCATGTGGCCAGACACCACACCCATGAAACCACCTTTATCTCCACACTCCTAGTGGGACCTGTTTGGGATTAGCCATAAGCAATCCTCAGCAGAGAGCTGGAGCGGGGGAGCGACTTGCAGGGTGATACAGGTGACACAAAGCTCAACCAGCCACGGAGGGACTGTTGCTCATTCTTTAACTGTCTCATTCGAGGGGCAGATGCTCAACTGCCCCTAATATATTTTGATACTCAGATGTGCAACTCACCAGTATCTGTCAAAAAATAGAAGGGTCAAATTAGAACAGCCTGACCAAAAATCTTTTTCTTAAGCACTCATTTGGTACAGGATATCTTTCTGCAGACATATTAACTCTCAATATATTGCAATAAGACTCCAAGAATATTTGGGATAACTGGCTGCAGTTAGAGCCACTAAGGCCATAAAGACAAAAACCCTGCTATGCCATCTGTATGCACAACCACGGACGGAGGTAAACTGTACTCCTACGACAGCCAAAGTCAACAAGGTCACTCCTTACCTCCGACAATGAGGTATGTGTTTGGGAAGAGGTTCTTCGCTTGCATCAAGGCCCGGGCATGTCCAGAGTGAAACAAATCAAATATAACTATTTCAGCTCTCCTCCCTCCCTTCCCCTTCCAGACACTACTGTAGCACACACAAAAAATGCAGAAGTACCACTATAAAAACGCCCTCAGCAGCAAGTGAAACTGTGATAAGGAAACAAACCACACAAAGGCGTTATGGTCGCTCTATTGCAGGATCAGAGTTTCATTTTGCTTCAGGAAGCTAATGGTAATTGAGAATACTAGTTAAAGGTATTCTCAGCTTTGATACTTTAACATCATTATGCAGCCTGACCAGAGGTCACCTCCTGATAGACGACATGCACAGCCTGACGTGTCTCTAAGGTGGGTGAAGGTATGGGCACAGAGGCACTGCCTGGACAGAGGCCAGCGTATTACAGCAGCCAGAAGTATAAAGGGTTTCTTTATTCCCATTATATTCTTGAAGGAGGCCTGGCTGAAACACCTCTGTTAGATCCCCTCAGGCAGTCAGCAGGCTATTCCTGGCATCATCTAAAGACTTTTGAACCTAACAGACAAAATGGGGAACTTTTATTTGGAGAAATGGGGCCTCACTGACTTCCATGTGGCCAGACACCACACCCATGAAACCACCTTTATCTCCACACTCCTAGTGGGACCTGTTTGGGATTAGCCATAAGCAATCCTCAGCAGAGAGCTGGAGCGGGGGAGCGACTTGCAGGGTGATACAGGTGACACAAAGCTCAACCAGCCACGGAGGGACTGTTGCTCATTCTTTAACTGTCTCATTCGAGGGGCAGATGCTCAACTGCCCCTAATATATTTTGATACTCAGATGTGCAACTCACCAGTATCTGTCAAAAAATAGAAGGGTCAAATTAGAACAGCCTGACCAAAAATCTTTTTCTTAAGCACTCATTTGGTACAGGATATCTTTCTGCAGACATATTAACTCTCAATATATTGCAATAAGACTCCAAGAATATTTGGGATAACTGGCTGCAGTTAGAGCCACTAAGGCCATAAAGACAAAAACCCTGCTATGCCATCTGTATGCACAACCACGGACGGAGGTAAACTGTACTCCTACGACAGCCAAAGTCAACAAGGTCACTCCTTACCTCCGACAATGAGGTATGTGTTTGGGAAGAGGTTCTTCGCTTGCATCAAGGCCCGGGCATGTCCAGAGTGAAACAAATCAAATATTCCATCAGCATAAACTCTGACGGGGCGATCCACTGTGCCAAAGAGACAGAGAGACATTTGTGAAGATGCCTTCCTGGAGAAGCAGCTGCTGCTCATGCCCACATTTGGGGACCTCCTGAAACTCATGGGGGCGTTGCAGAAAACTGGCAGAATGCAGAGCCATAGCCAGGAAAGATTTGTGCAGAGAAATGGCTGGCTTTCTGCCTTCCCACATGGAAACAAATGTAGCTGAGGACAGAGCTGAAATACAACCATGTTCAAAGACAGACTCAAAACTTACCAGATATCCACCAAAACAAGGTGAAGGGAGACCAAGGGGAAAGCAAACCCTGGACATCTCCCTCCTATGGAAATCCAAATGCAGCATTAACTTTTTGCACAGCACTGAGCTACCAGAGGGAAACCGGCCAAAATATTTCATAGGTGCCCGATTTCCCCCTGCCATCCAGGATGGCATCTCAAGACTTTTTCAGCAACCTGCTCTGCAGCCCACTGCCACAGCTACCAGTCTGGCTGAGGGACCAGACTGATTCCTCACCAGCATCATCGGCTCCCCCAGTCCCATGAAATGTATAGCTGTATCCAAAAACCCAGCTGGACTACTCAAAGAAAAGCAGCTACAATTCTGCTGAACCACTGGCACTATCAGCTAAATCCATAGATAAAGGAGGAACTTTCCTCAGGCCACCTCTGCCAGGGGAAGTTGTAGCTCTTCTCTTTGAGGTCAGCGCAGAGGTAAAGTGACATAGTCTAGCACTGCCACGTAATAGCAGGAGGCTCCCTGACTTCTGGTCTCCTGGGACCACACAGGACTCTAGCTCTCTTGCTGCTGGTAACAGAAAGCCACGTATTCTTGGTACCTGACACACTTCGGAATGGCCTGCTGCTCTCTGGCCCAATTCAGGCAGACAGGCTCAGAGGAGTGGTGTGAGCCGAGGCACACCAAAGCTGCAGCGAGGTAGGGGCAAAGACCTCGCAGGAGAGCTGAAACCCCATGGGTCTGGGCAGGGCCCTGAAGGTACCTAGAGACAGAGCCTGGGAGGCAGCAAGAGGATGAGTTGATGCAGAGGTAGGGTTGTTAAATTCCAGCTAAGCAGAGGAGTCAGTTTGAGGACAGTCTCTTACAATCACTTTTCCACAAATCCACCTCAGTCTGAAGATGCCAGGAGGCTCTGGAGAGCCAAGGATCTGGAGATCTGAGACTGCAAAAGCTTTCTGTATGCCAGAAGAGGGCTGGTCCTGGCAGACCTTAATTAAAGTGCAGCCATGTTCTGGAAATTGGCTGGGATATCCTTCCCTTTTCCTCCATACCTGCAGCAGCTACAGTTCCTGAGCACAGGCATAAACAGCAACAAGGAAGCATGCAGTGAATTTTAGTCTTAGCAGGCAGGAGAGCCATCACTATTGAAATCAGAGACATTTGTGCAGGCTCTGGAGACTTTCAGCTGGGAAATTAATGTGGACTGTGAAAAGCATTGGATTTCCAGAACCTCCTGCAGGAAACCACTGCCAGGTCTCAATCTGAGCTGGCTCATCTCTCAGCAGCAGTCAGGTAGGTAGAAGTGCAGCATTTTTATTGTCTTGGTTTCCGTAACAGAGAGGCCAAGTAAGACAGCACTGTCTGCACAATCTGGCAAGAGAGGGCAGCCATCCTTCAGGAGTCAGTCCTGCCTCTGCCTCCCCTTTGGACTTATAAAGAGAACAGTGTTTTTCCCAGCCTGGTTTAGAGAATAAAAGGACATGTTCTTGTTGTGGGGCTGGCCTACTGTGTTTAATTTAACTTTAATTCAAATCCAGGCTACAATGGGACATTCTGGACAAAGATGCATGTTGGTTTTACTTGCCCATTTCAAGTTTCAGAAGGGATGACTTTTAAAGTGCTTAACTTTAAGCTGCCTCAGACAAAGTAGTACAGAAAAATGTTCAACTCTGATACTACTCTATAGCTGTCAGTGGCACAGGAAGAGTTAAAACACAAATATCTATTTGCTTCAAATAGTCTTACTGGTGCAGGTACGGCTCCTCACATACAAAGGCTCCAATTTCAGTTGTAATAGCAGGCCCAATTTCACATGGGAACAGTTATTTAATCACCAAAGCATTAACTAAGTCATTCGCTGCAAACCCAGTCTGACATACAAGGTGGGTTCGGTCTCAGAGGTATCAAAATCATACCTGTCCCTCCCCAACCCGACATTTATACAATTCTTCCAGTCTGTTTTTTACTTACAAGGGGTCCCTCTCATCGCTTCTTCATACGTTACTCTGATGTATGGCTTGCTGTAATCGATTTCCACTTCATCTGAAAACGGAGCCGGTTCCCTCAGTCCCTAAACCACCAGAGAAGGTTAGCTGTGAGAATGCAAAGGTGAGTGCACTACGTAGCGGCAGCACTGCCACTGCAGTGTCCTAGTCACTGAGTGACTCACTGTGTCTCTGCACGATTCAAACACATGTACGGAAAGACTAATTAGTGTTAAACCTCAAAACAGCCCTGCAGGGTGATTAGCCTGAATTTAGAGAGGAAGAGAGAGAGGGAAAAGTAGAGTTAAGAAGGTGGTAGTCATACTGGACCCAAGAAAACTGGAGGCTCAGATCTGCAGCTGGTAAAAACCAGACTTCTGACAAACAGCGGTTCACAGCAGCACAAGACAAGCTTCATCAAACCTCACCGTCGCAGCTCCAGCTATGCCCACCCAGGCAAAACCATCACTTTGCTGCGCCTGAGTGCTTGTGCTGTGATGTACAAATTGTAACAGCTCCTCAATTTGAGCGTATGAACAAGCAGAAGAGCAATACCAACAGCAGCACAAATTCCCAGGGAACGTGTGTATCGTCAACCATTTCTGAGCTGTACACAGTGAGAGACTGACCTCGATCTGTAGCAGCGTATCTCCAACTGCTGAAGGAAAACCCCTCTAATCTGCTAGCTTGACCACAGCAGTATGTTCAATCAGCAGCTGAAGTCCAGGCACCATTTCTGGTCTCCTCTGAATGGAAACAAAACATCTGCCCTTCCCATAACGGAAAAAACAGCTCAATTTCCTCCTAGCTGGAAGGTGTGGGGCAGCAGTAGATGTCTCTTTCCTCAGCCAGAAGACTAGGAAACAAGCTTGGAGATCATTACAATAATACCTTCAAGCTGCAAAAAGCTAATCAGTTTCCTCTCTGGCTTCCTGTCCCATTGCAGCATTGTGCCACAGTGCCCAGCACCACTGCAACCAGAAAGACCGCTGCTATTGCAGTTATTGCTACTGTCATTCCTATTAGAGTGCTCAGAGTGAAGTGCACAGGAAAGCAACCACTGACCACTACATTCAAGCAAACTGATACTGCTGAAAATCTCCTTTAACTTACTGAGGCTCTAGTACCCATGTTTCACACACCACCTCCTCTACCAGGATCCTTACTGTTAGGTAAGGCCCACGCGTCTCTCCTTTCATCACTGCCATTATATCTGGGACTTGTGATTAAAACCAGACTCTCTGCAGTTTGGTTGGCACATACCTGGTACGAAGCTAGGAATAAAAGCATTGAAAAACCTATCAAAGTTATCAGAGGATGATAGAGAAATGCCCTCAAAAGCTCCTGCCACAGTCTCGCCCTTCTTCTGCAGTGCCTACAAGGGTCAGGACTCCCGATGTGCACCCGATGTGCACAATACAACAGGATTGTGTGTCAGCAGGCTTGTTACTACCATCTGCTGCTGAGCCCCGCTCCTTTAGGGGAACACTGCCAGCCAGCTGTTTAGTTGGGAGCGGTAAAAGCTTCAAGGCAATGTCACAGTTAGGCAACACTATTACTCTTGCTACAATAAATAAACCTTTCACAAAAGGAAGAAAAGAGAAACCTTTCATCAGGAGGTCTGCGTTAGCCCTGTGGCTAAAAAACAGCCAGGAAGTTTAGAAATTGGCTAGATATTACTTGTCTTGTGCTGTTCATAGACAGATGCTCTATTTCTAACACAGGACAGACACCAACTTGAAGAGCAAGAGATTCCCATGGAATAACCTGTGCAATTCTCTTTCCTTACCAAAATATATGGGGTCTTTAAGAGGGACAGGGTGGGTTTTGACAACAGTCAAGGATTTAAGGCTCTGTGGGAAAAGTCATGCAATGCCTCAAGCCTCCATTCCCAATGCTTGTCTCCCCAGTTCTCACTTCTGACACTGCTCTTACTTCATTACCATCTGTCAAATGCCCTAGGACAGGACTGAAGTACTCCTGAAGAGCAGAATGTTGTTATCAAAGAGGAAAGCTGCAACACATCACCGTATTTTGCCAAGGACTATGACCCCAGTATGACGTGGCAGGGATGGTAGCTGGCTTTTGACAGAGATAAGGAAAGAGCAACTAGAGCACATGTGATACACAGGACAGCTCCAGGAAGAGGGCAGAGAAGAGCTGTAAAAAGCCCATCATCGCAATATTGTGGCAAGGACAAGTTAAAGTCAACTCTTTACACTGGCATTAACTGGCATAGACCCCCTTTAGAGAGACCCCACTGGCTTTAGCTTGTTAAAGCCATCCCGAGGTTGATCTAGAAGGAGAAATCCTTTTGGTTTTTGTTTTTTTTTTTTTTAATGAACATGCCTGAAATATCAGCAACATAAATGCAGTCTCCTGCCAGACCAAGAGAATCAAACAAACAGTCATCTTCCCAGTGTTTCAGAGCACAGATTCAATAGATTGCTTCTGCAGGTGCTTACAGACTTCAGACTCTCCTAGAGTTCCCCTGACTTGAACAGGACTGCTTTCTGCGAGGTACATGAGTTGTTACATGCTTGTTTGGAGTATTTCTCCCTCCCGCTGGGTCACTTAAGAAAACCCACCTGTGAGAAACGAATGCTTATTTCTCCATGGATATCTATATGCATGCCTGTTGGGGTTCAGCTTAAGTGACTACAAACAAGCCAGACACACCACAAAAGCAGCTTAGCGACGCTTGCCTCAGACCTAATTTAAGCCCATGTTGTAAGCATGTTATTAGTATGAACAAAGGAAGATTTTAAACTGGCTTTGCAAGAAGGATAGCTACTGTCATTTGCTTCTTCCCCCCCTGCTTTGTTTTCTGTGTCCACAGAAAAATCATCACATTTATCTTTCTGCTGTTACGGCTCAATGTCCTCATGTCGCAGGCACCTAAAGCTCCTATCTCTGCTTACTTACGAATGAGCGTCGGGACATTTTTTGAGGGATTCCGTCCAGCTCTGTCGCCCCATTAGGGCCAGATCCATCTTTTCTTCTTTTTCGGGAATTCATCCTGGAGGAGGTCGGCGGCTCCATCTTGCCAAGCACGTCCAGTGAGAACTGGAACAAAATGAAGGAGGGGGGGGGGGGAAAAAAAAAAAAAAAAAAGATATTTCTCAGATCTTCCAAAGCAGAATCAGTCAACAGCAGGCACAGTGTACAGAAGGTCAGCGCAAAGACACAGCCACCTAACAAGGGGCTTAGCCAGTTGTATTTGGCATCAGCTGCCAAGGCTTGACAAACAGTGCCTGGTGGGAATACTGAATCATTTGATGCAACTCAGAGCTGTTCTGCAGAGAGAAGCGTGCAGCAGTCAGCTGGCTGGAGAGAAACTCGCACAAGAGTTGCAATGCAAGTTATAAATCATTACTACAAGGCTAATTATCCTATTTTAGCATCTGAAAAGCAACCTAAGAATTAAGGCATGCCCAGTCCATATTCAGCCCTCCCCCAGCTCTCATTCTGATGAATGCAAACACTCTTCTAGCCTTCTGTGTGCCCCCTGCCTCCCCCAAGACAGCCGGTGGGTGTACTGCATCCCTGTACAATCCTGAAGAGAGGAAGGAGCAGGTTTAAGCAGAAGGACAAGGGTGAGGGAAGGGGTGCAACCCATGGTCATAACTTAAATAACTAGCTGGCTTGCTGTTTGCTTTGTTGTTTGTAAGACCAAGCTGCAGCTCACCAGTGGGGACGGCTCACCTTGGGATGGCTGCCACCATGCTCCCCTCTCATCCCCTGTCCCCACTGCAGTGGTGACTCAGCCGATGGAGAAGCAGCTGCTGACACCACATTAGGGCACGCTTACTTCTGGCACTTTACGTACCAGGTTGTAATTAGCGGTGGTTCAGCTGAACTGCTTCTGTGATGAATAGACAGACAGACAACCAGTGTAGGACAGAAATTGTGACAGCTATCTAGAAGTAAGCTATCTGTGCTTTTGAGCTGGAGTCATTGTACCTTCCCAAAAGGGCCCCGGATTAGGAAGCCCAGCACTTCACAGAGCTGAAGCAAAGCTAGGGATTCATAGAAAGACATGGCAGCAAATATTCCCTTTTCAGCTGCTGCAGGAGTTAGAAACAGGTGCTAGACTTGCAAAGTTCATAACTAAAGAGCAGCATTATCTCTCTTGCTCACTTGAAGTGTGCAGCTCTCCAGTGCAGCAAATGGCACTTCTGACCTGCCATTCCTGAGAGCCGCATAACCCCTCCGCCCAGAAATGATGCTTATGTGTGTGCCTCAACACCCGAATAATAAGAGCCAAGTGGAATTTAAAACGTCTCCCCACCCACATGCAGTGTGTGTGTGCTGGAACAAGTTAGGTGGGGCAAGCGCGAGGTATGAGAAAGGGCAGATGTCCCCCTGAACACCACCCCGCTCCTAGGCAGAGAGTTTCTGCCGAGCGTTCCTACTCAGGACAAGCTGGGACTGTCCTCAGTAAGGGCTGCTGGGCAAAGCTCTGCTGTTCAGCAACCAAGAAGCGTGGGCTTGATTTGTGAATCTGTGAAGCAGATTTAGTGATCGGACTCACTCAAGCACAAATGACTCCAAGTTAAGGAATGTTCCAAAGTAAGGAGTCAAACACAGTTTAATAACACATGAACATACCGCTCTCCCCACCTAGCATCAACAAGATGATACCTTACGAACAGCATTAGGGCCAAACACAGCTGAACTGTTTTTGGGCTACATGCGTGTAAGTATCCCAGACTGCTCTGCTAGACCTAACACAACGCACTAAGAACAGGAAAAAGAGAATCTTAGGTGTGCGGGGAGCCAAAAAAATACTGGGGAGAAGACAAAAGTGACAGTGAAGAGCAGCCACAACGACATTTCAGAACTGCTTGAGCCATCCAGCACTCACTCCGTAATGCCTGCAAGTCAAGTTTGTCAAGTTTCCCCCATTCCAGTAATTAATTTACTATTTCCTAAGAACAGACAAACATATGGGAGTGTGCAAAAGCAATCTCAGGCAAAAAGAGTTTGCAACCCTGAGCTCCAAGTCTTCAAACACGTAAGCAAATATTTAACTTTCAGGCAAGATCTGTGCTATAAATGCAGCAGCCTTCAGAGTACCTCTGTGAAAACACAGGGTATGATACAAGTAATTCTTAGGTTTTGCAAGGCGCCATCTTGCAAACACACTCTGTATCAGTTATTTACTTCACCACCATGGTCCTGTCAGAAACCATCCATTTCACAAAAAGCAGCAGACCTCTGTCTCTGGTTCAAGTAACCCCAGCGTTCATGGAAACAGTTGGGGAAAACAGCAGTAGATTTTCTTGTTAGTTGTCAAAATAATTTCACTGTTTCAAGTCACCTGTTGGTCTCTGGCCATTCGCTTTCCTTCCCTTTGGAGACAATTAAAAGGTCTGTTAATATCCTGAACGCAGTCCTTCTGAACCACTGCCCAGCAAAATATTAAAAAGCGCTGGCAGAGGCTTTGGTGCTGAAGTACGGACATAGCATCCTCCACGCACAAACAGGTAAAGCTCTTCCCACGTTAGCTTGGCCCATCAGAGCAACCAGACTTCTCTGCACACAAGTACACTCTCCGCTGAGTTATCACCAGCATCTTGCTGATGGGTGCAGAGCTCACGGCCAGCCAAAGAACTGCAGGTTACAGCACAGGGCAACACCGTGCTTTGTGCTGATGTACAGCAGCACTGTCCGAGCCCAGGAGAAATCTCCAACAGCTTCTTCCAACCCCTCCCACACCCAACCATCCGCTTTCCTCCACCCTAATTCACTTTTCCACTTCTCAGGGTATACGTAGTCAAATGATGGCAAACAATAGCTTAAGCGAATGGATTTGCTTTGCATTAAATAAGCAGCAGTGGTCAGACAGCACCAGCCACCCAGCAGCAGCTCTACCTGACATACCAAGGGAGAAACCTGCTTTGAGGACAGGACAAATATGCTCTATCTGCTCTGATGTTACAGGCTAGATGCTGCTGAAGGAGCCTCTCCAGTGTCCGGAGAGCTGGGCTGGGCACCTCATGAGTGACGCAGCTTGTGCCAATTCCTCCAATTAACGCAGAAATTAAACAATAATTTTACCACTCTTCAAAGCTTTAAAACCTCTGTCCTGCGGCTAGTGTGTTTCTGGGAAGTCCTCCCACCACCAAACTTGTCTTCGTTAAAAACTGGGAACACGTTGTTTTTAAAAACAAACCATACCTTACTGCGATAAAGCTACTAATCTTAGAATGTTTCATTTTGACCCAAATGACTAAAATAGCATCCTGAACAATTACTTACTAACAATGGGATCCAGCATCTGTAGCTGAGCTTAATACATGAGCACACAGTTTTGCTTCCCCAAATGCATAAAACACTGGCTGTTCTAAAATTAATTACATTTGCAGCAGATGGGGAAGGGGAAAGAGAAGATAAGTCTCAAAGCTCATTCTGAAAAACTCCAAGATAAAAACCAGGCATAATCAGAAGAAAGAGCCCTGCTGTAAAATATTAACATTGTTCTATTTTGTTTAAGGCATCACCCTCCTGCATTACTGAGTCTGTGCTGAACATGAGAAACTGCTTTGCTAGGAGCAAAGTTAAGAAGTGCCCCATTTGGGAAAGCCATGGGCAGATCACAGTCTTGGTGACACTTTACAAAACACTTGGGGCTTTGCTTCTGAAACTTACTTCTTTGGTGCACATCCTGTATCAAAGAAGCGCCTTGCATCACCTGCCAGCTGGCTCACCTCAAGAGAGTGAGTTGTACCGGCTCTGCGAGGAGCAGCTGACTGCCAAGGGGAGAAGAGTTGCTCTCTCCGTCAGGGAATCACTCTTCTCAGTCCCCAAGTGCAGATATTGAATGAAGGAGGGGAAGCAGTCGAAGGGAGAAATAGGAGTTTTCTTTAAACTGTGGCAATAACAGCCTTCAGAAATCATCCAACACTTTACTGAGAGTAATGCTACAAAGCTCAAGTCATTTCCCACTGAAATGCAGCCACTTCTGGGAGGGAAGAAGGACAAGCATTGATTACCACAAAGAAAAAAAAAATACATAGGCAGGGAAAGAATTTAAAGCTTCTCCCTTAGTGTGAGTTAACTACACCATCATCCGAGCTGGAATTTAACCACACCACCAAAGTTAACACCTCTGGCAGATGGAGAAGGTCAAAATAGGCGCGGCAAATCTTCTTGCTTAGCCAAAGCCTTATCTCACTGTCTGCATCTTCATGGACAGTGCCGATGCTTTGTTTAGCCTTGGTGGTGACAGAGAACTGCCTGCCTCACACTACACCTGAGAAGCAGATGAGCTATTTCTGCACCCTAAGCACACTGACGGCATGAGGACCTGGCCCATCTGCATTCTTTCTGTTTTGATGTCCCCAGGAATTTCTTGAAGAATATTATCTGCAAATCTACACACACTAGCAGGATTTCTTCTGCCACCTCTGCTGCTTTTCACTTGCAGATTTACACACCAAGGCAAAATAAATCCTGCTACTTACACTCATCCTGCTAGTTAAACTCGAAGTCTGTGCAAAACAAGAGCTTACTGCAACAACTCAGTAAATGCTCCAGCCCAAAGCTGCTGCATTTCCCACCACGGATCTGAGTCAGCGCAAGACTGGCACACTGGAGCAGCGAGGCCCCTCCGAAACCCCCAGCTCCCAGGCTCCCCGGGTGGCACTGCCTGCTTCCCAGGCTCCCCTATCATCCCTCTGAACTTAGAAGGCGTTGGCACAGTCAGATGTGACTATCATGTGCTGCTTTGCCTACAAGATCATACCACTTTACAGGAACAAGCTATTTCTCTTCTGCTGACTCATCTGCAGGCAAATACTACTAAACTTTGCACTCTGCCAGCTGTCTGCAGAGAATTGCCTTGACACGTGGACAGCACCTAAGCGAGAGCCTCAGGGAAAAGGAAGAAGTCCTGTCACTTCAGATATTTCCCCTGCCAGGCCGTAAAGTACCCAAACGACCCTGCATTCCTCCGTCATGGGGAGAAGAGAATCCTTTTCCCCCTGTTCTCCCCCACCTCCAACCCCCAGTTTACGATTAACCTTACTGCTGTGTACCCCTGTAGAGATCTGTTGTAGACAGAAAGACTCAGAAGAGGTTAATGACAGAAGACTCATCACAGTGAGAAACTGATGAAAGACTGTTTACAACTTGGGGGTTAACCAATACATAATTACTGGGAGAGATCAGGATCTCTCTTCAATCCGTGCTTAAAAATCTTGCCAATCTCCAAGGCAACTTCATTCCCAGCCCAGGCTTGCGAGGCCCAGATTCGCCCCAATCTCCAGACTGAGAGCATCTGCTTTAAAAACTGAGTGCTAATGGCTGCGACCCAGCCTGCTCACCTCCAGAGAAGACTGCGACCCTCCCCAGCACAGCAGCTCTCCCCACAGTCAGCATCTGCTCTACCTAGACGGTCTAAGCCCTCAAGCCCCTTAGAAAGGTTACTGCAGGATCTGGCAGGCAGAGTCCTGTCTACACTCAAAACATAGGCTGCTTCAGCTACTCCGGCTGAACAAAAGCAGCTATCCTGCAGCATATTAATAGCCACATGAACGTATAAAAGGGATTCCAGTTCAGGCAGTGCCATATCCAGCAGCATCCAGACCCAGACCTTTGCAACGCTGGCTAAAAAAACCCCCAAGCCTTGCATCCCCTACTGCTACGGGCAGGCTGATAACATTTGCTCAAGCAGAGCCCGACCATGCAGAAGATCTGGTACCCGTGTCCTGCAATCGATGAAAAGATGCTGCTTTTCACCAACAAAGTCCTAAATGGCTCAAGGTAATTCTCTCTACAACAACCACAACTGAAAACAGTGCAGTGTGATCACCTAAGCAGCGCTGCTATGAAATACACACAAAAAAAAGAGAAACTGCTGGCAAGACCTTCTCCATGAATTCACGGCCCTTCTGGGTACACCATAAGCCCGAGGCACTGAGTGTCCTGGCATGCGACAAAGTCTCTGCTGCGGTTAGCGAAGCAGCAAGAGTAGGGTTTATGCAGAACATCAGAGAAGATTTGGAGTCTGCCCAGGGACAATAGAGAACAAGCATGGGTGGTCATTCTGTCCTGACTTTTGTGCCGAGTTGCATTGTGTTTTGCTTTTAGAGCTTAACAACAGAACCTTTTGAGACTTCAGGAGGCAACCTCCTTTAGTAGGTTTACACATCAATACCAAATCCTTGCTCCAACAATTATTGTTTGTGGGTCATTCTACAGCAATTTCAAGACAATTACAATCCAGATCTTGGACCAAGAAACTTCCAAGTCACGAATTTTAATGATTCTGTATATATAGCAAATTCCTTCAGGAAATAAGGCACAGGTATTTGTCATCTGAATTTCAAAAGTAAATATGGTGGCTGACCTCAGGCCCAGGAGTCCTGCGGATGGAAAGCCACCAGTACCTGCTTCTGACTACACCAGTCTTCGCCAGCTGCAGGCTGGGGGACCTGGTGCTGCAATGGCACAGGGTGGGGACAGAAGAAGGAAGGCCACCTGCAGCGTCCTGCACCTCCCTCCACAGCGAGCGAAGGCTACCGAGGAGCATCGCAGCTCTCAGAATTCCTGCAGACTTTAACTCTAATTACAAAACCATTAATCAGTGCAGCCAGGACTTTGGTGGACACAAAAAGCGGGTTAGAGAGGATGTGTGCCTGCACAGCAGCTAGGTCACACCTTCCTTCTCCGCAGTCAGGGCCACCTCCTCATTGTTCTGCTCCTCTCTCCCCTGCTCCTCTCTCCCCAGGGCTTTGGCTGCGTCCCCTAGGTCGGGGGATGTTCCCCAAAGCCCCCACGCTCCAAGCCCTGGGGGGTGTATTCCAAAAGTTTCCCAAAGCATCTGCTGCTGTCTCCTCTCAGCCTGCCCCCACCGCAGCCGGGGCTGCCATCCCCCGAGCATTGTGCCTGAGCCCCAGCCTCTCCCCAAGCCCCCACAACGGGGAAGCAGCGCAC